TCCACTCGGGAAAGCTGCAGGCCTTTGGTGAGGGGCTGGGGCCGGGGGCAGAGCCCGGGGCGGGGGACCGGGGCTGCTGGGCTGTGACGGCTCCGTGCATGGCGCAGGGAAGGAGTGCTCCTTCCAGCAGCTCGAGCACGTGCGGGAGATGCAGGAGAAGCTGGCACGGCTCCACTTCGGCCTCGATGGCTGCGTGGAAGAGCTCCCTGAGGAGCAGAAGAAGGCGGCGGCCGACCGGAACCTGGACCAGTTGCTGGCGCACGTGAGTGTCACCCCCCTGCCCGCTCCTGATGCTGTGGCTGGGGACCCTGCTGGCCCCGGCTGTGCCGCCGGTGCCTTGACCTCTGCCTTTGTCTCCTGCAGCTGGAGGAGCTCAGCAGCTCCATGTATCCTGGGCGATGGTGGTATGGCAGTGGTGGTGGTGGTGGTGGTAGCAGTGGTAATGGTGGCAGTGATGGTGGTGGTAGCAGTGGTAATGCTGGCAGTGATGGTGGTGGCAACAGTGGCCGTGGTGACAGCGGCATTGGTGGCAGCGGTGCTGATGGTGATGGTGGCAATGATGACAGTGGCAAGTGATGGTGGTGGCAGTGGTGGTGGTGGTGGTGATGATGGTGGTGGTGATGATGGTGGTGATGATGGCAGTGGTGATAGCAACTGACGGTGGTGGTGGTAATGGTGACAGTAACAAGGGTGACAATGGTGGCAGGGGTGGTGATGATGATGGTGGTGGCGATGGCGGTGGTGGCACTGGTGACATGATGATGGTGATGATAGCGGCATTGGTGATAGTGATGATGGTGGTGATGGTGGCCTTGGTGACAGTGATGATGGTGGTGATGGTGATGATGGTGGTGATGGTGGCCTTGGTGAAAGTGATGATGGTGGTGATGGTGATGATGGTGGCGATGGTGGCACTGGTGATGGTGATGATGATGGTGACGATGATGGCAATGGTGGCCTTGGTGACAGTGATGATAGCGGCATTGGTGATGGTGATGATGGTGGTGATGGTGGTACTGGTGATGGTGGTGATGGTGATCATGGTGGCGATGGTGGTACTGGTGATGGTGATGGTGACGATGATGGCAATGGTGGCCTTGGTGACGGTGATGATAGCGGCATTGGTGATGGTGATGATGGTGGTGATGGTGGTACTGGTGATGGTGGTGATGGTGATCATGGTGGCGATGGTGGTACTGGTGATGGTGATGGTGACGATGATGGCAATGGTGGCCTTGGTGACGGTGATGATGGTGGCACTGGTGATGGTGGCAGGGCCCCGCGTCCCCCTTGCGCTCTCCCTTGACCCACGCTCAGCCAGAAGCTGCACCTGGCCGAGAGCTCCGACCCCGAGGACTCCGCGGCCTGACCCCGCGCCCGGCCCGGCCCCCGGAGACCCCGCGGCGGGGCCGGCGGCACCGGAGCCACCGCACCAGGACCCCCCCCCGGCCGCCATCTTGGTGCGGCCCACAGCGGCGAGGGGGCGGGGCCTGGCAGTGCCGCGGCCGGATGACGCCATCAGCCGGCGCCTGGGCGCTGGGGCCATGGCGGCTGAGGGGCTGTGGGCGCAGGCGGAGGCAGAGGGATGGCGGCGGCTGCTGCGGGCCGTGACCCGCCTGCAGGTCGGGACCGGGGCCGGGGCCGGGGCCGGGGCCGGGGCCGGGGCCGGGGCCGGGTCTGGGCCTGGGCCTGGGGGGGAAACAGCCGCGGGGGAGCGTGGCTGAGGGGGCGCCCGTGGGGGGCACGTCAGGGAGAAGAGGGGGCCACAGCTGGGTGGGAGCACAGCTGGGTGGGGGCACAGCTGGGTGGGAGCATAGCTGGGTGGGGGCACAGCTGGACGTGGGCACAGCTGGATGGGGGCACAGAGGGATGGGGGCACAGCTGGGTGGGGGCACAGATGGATGGGAGCACAGCTGGATGGGGCACAGCTGGATGGGGACAGGGGCACGGCTGGATGGGGGCACGGCTGGATGGGGTTGGCAGGGGCCGTGAATCAGGCGCTGCCTCATTAAAAGCTGCCGTGGTTCCAGACCCGTCTGCTCCTTGCGCGCCGGGCTGGGTGCTGTGGGTGGCTGTGGGGCCACTGAAGGGCTTCGGGTCTCTGTGGCAGGGGTGGGGGGGTTGTGACCGGCCCCACGGGCACCCTCGGCCTGTTCCCGCAGGCCTGTGTCAGGGGTTACCTGGTGCGGAAGCGGTTTCAGAGCCTGCGGGCAGCGTTCGAGGAGGTGGTTTTGGAGATCGAAGGAGACCTGAGCCAGCTGCAGTGGAGGGGACGGCTCCTGCCCCGGCCTGTCTTCATCCCCGAGGTCTGTGTGCCGGCCCGGGCTGAGCTAATGCAGCCCCTCCGAGGGGGGGGCGGTAGGGGGGCAGCCGTGCAGATGGTGCTTCTGCAGCAGGAACCTGTAGTCCTACCACACAAACCCAGTGGTTACTTAGTGCTGCCTGGAAGAGTCTCCCTGGCTTGTGCCCAGAGGATTTCTACCCCCGGGTGAAGCTCAGCCTCCAGTCAGGCAGTGCAGGTGATTCCGTGGGTCTCCCATCTCCTGTGGCCATGCACTGCAGCAGCTGAGCCCTGCTCTGCAGGGGTCTGGGCACATCTGGAAGGAAAGCCCTTTAAAGAGTTCCAGCCCGGAGCACGTCAGTGTCCCAGCACTGCTGATGGTGGTGCACAGAGCCCCTGGCTCACAGCAGGGCCACCGTGCAGGTCGTTGTCTCTTCCATATGTATCAGTCTCTTGCACGTCGCCCCTTTAGGAGCCAGCACAAGGGAAGTGTTTAAATCTACGTGAGGCTGCACCAGGTGACAAAGCCAGCACAGAAAAACCACAGGAGGAGCTGGATGCTTCTGAGCCAGAGCAGGACCGGGGCTGCAGCAGCATGAATCCTACAGCCCAGCTGCTGAGTGAGAAGGAGCTGAGCCCCACGGGTGCAGGAGATGCAGTGACCCCCCTGAATCTCGAGGCTGATGCTGATGAGCACCCTGAAAAGGGGTGCAGTCCCCCAGCTGGGAGCAAGGACTGGCAGAACGACAGCAACGTGTCCTCTGGCCTGGAGGCAGAGTCCCTTGGAGCCTACCTGGGTAAGAGCCAGGAGCTGTGATCTCTTGCATGGGCTCAGGGACCTGCTGGTGAGCACCAGCAGCAAGGTAGAGAACCCAAAACCTTGGAAATACCTTGGAGAAGCTGGAGCAGCTCAGTGCAGGGGAGGCAGCAGTGGGAGCCTTTGTTCTGCTAATGGGTTATTCGTCCATTTCTTGGCAGAAATTCCACTTGTGGACATAAAGGAACTTCCTCGGACTCGCTCTGGTCTCCAGTCCTACCGAAACCACTTGGTCATGGAGCTGCTGTGGTTGGAACAAGCTATTGTCAGCCGTAAAAACGTAAGGCCCTACCCTTTCTAACGCAGTGGGGCAGAGTGGTAGGGCTGGGGTTGAGTTGGGCTGGAAGATGCCAGCACCCTTCAGTTTTCCTTCTCTAGGGGAAAAGAAGCCCAAAAGGAATGACAAAGGGGAACAAGAGGTGGCTGGATCTGGTTACAGGCTTTGCTCCTTGCCTGCTGCAGGGCTGTTGCTGCTTTAACCACCCTGTTTGTCCAATGCAGTGCTCTGAACCCAGGCACTGGGTGGCTTTGCACTGCTTGAAAGGGGGCACTTGTGCATCTTCTGGCCAAGTGCCGCGATCCTGCTGGCTGATGTGCAAGGGGGGCTGCCTTCCTCCTCAGAGACCTCTGGGATTGAATCATGAATGCTTGGTTTTCTTTCTCTTGCAGTTCTTGACGTTGAAGCAGAGGCTGGGGACTCCTGGAGGAGGGCAGTCCTGAGCATAAGGGGCACTTGTATTGGTGTGGAGAAGCTGCAGAGCTGCAGCACCGGCGTTGTGACGTGGCCCTCGTGGACAGCAGCAGCTGTGGGGAACTCCAGCTTTCTGGGTTGACGTGTGCCACTTCAGGTGAATGCTGCAAGAAAGCCTTTTGTTTCTTTTAAATGGGACTATTTGGCCAAAGCAGGGGTTAGACATCACTGGGAAGCCTGGAGGTGGTTGTGTGGCCTGGAGGGGGTCTCAGTGAGACCTCCTTCTGCAAGAACCTTATTTCTGTTGGCTAGGCTGGATGGTCCTAGGGGCAAAACAAGCTTAGGAGGGCTGCTGCTTAGAGAAGGCTCTTTCTGACCAGCTCATTGCTTGTGGTGGAACTAAAATGCCTGAAGGCAGAAGGTGCTTCCAACCTGCAGGAACAAGCTCTTCTGTGCTGACCTGTGTGTGATTCATACCAGTGTCTGAGCTGTCTATTTGAGGTGGCTGCACATCAAATCTGACCTTCAGGACATGAGGCTTGGTTCCCAACTCGCGTATGGATGGCCATTGTAGCATCTCTCTGTGTGGCAGAGTGACCTGGACTGCTGCTTGAGGGGGCAAGTAAGGACCTGTGGGGTTTGGAGCTTTGTTCCTCTAGTCCAGGAGCATTCAGGGCCCCTCAGAAAGGGACTTTTCATGTGGTGCTGTGGTTCTTTACCACAAGTCTACTGTGGAAATGCTCTGCATTCCTGCTGCCTGAGCAGTCACTCTTGCCATGTGGTGGATGAATCCTTCTGGTCCTGAATGAAGCCGATTTATTTGTGAATAAAAAGCTTTCCTGATGTTCGTCTCTGTCGATTCCAGGCTGGCTCCTGCCTTCTCCTGGGCAGAGCCAAGTGAGTCCATGGTCCATTTCAAGGCACAGCATCCTGTTCAGTGCAAAGGGTGGAGCATCCGCTGAGATGTGTATATTTGATGCAGGCAGCACAGAAACCCATCACACTTCTCATGCAGGTAGCAAGTGATGGCAAAGGGGTGACAGCATCTGGATAGTGCTGCTGTGGATGAGACGTGAGCTGCTGCCATCAAGATATTGGTGCTTACTGTGCCTCCGGGCTTGCTAATCATAGAATCACAGAGTGGTTTGGGTTGAAGGGACCTTAAAGCTCCTCCAAGCTCCAACCCCTGCCACAGGCAAGGACACCTTCCACTGCAGCAGCTTGCTCCAAGCCCCTGTGTCCAACCTGGCCTTGAACATTGCCAGGGATGGGGCAGCCACAGCTTCTCTGTTCATCTGAGCCTGGTGGCCACAGTGCCTGGTGAGGGAGCTCCCAGTGTTGGGTGTCTGAGCGTTCAAGGGCCGTTTGGTTCCTGGTTTTCAAATCGAAAGCTGCTCTTCGGGTTGTTTGCTGTGGCCTCCAGGCGGCCCCACAACTTCCTCCAGCTGGGCCTGCATCCATGGAGACAGGCACTCACACCAGGCAGCGCTGGGAAGGGACAGTGGAGCCTGAGGGTGGCTGATCCGAGGGTCTGGGCTCAGTGGAGCTCTTCTCCACTCCCTACACTGCTCTGTGTGTGGGCAGCAGGGCTTCTGCTTGACCCCTGCGAGATGAGCTCCCGTGGCTTAGCCCTGGCACCTCCAGCCAAGAGCGTGCTTGTGTATCGCAACGGTGACCCCTTCTTCCCCGGGAGGAGGTTCGTGGTGAACCAGCGGCGGTTCCTGACCTTGGAAGCCTTCCTGAACGAGGTGACCAAGAGCATCGATGCACCCGTGGCCGTGAGGAACCTCTACACCCCCCGGCACGGCAGCTGCGTGGCGGGGCTGGGGGACCTGCAGGACGGGTGCCAGTACGTGGCTGCGGGCTTCGAGAGGTTCAAAAAGCTCGAGTGAGTGGAGGGGGTTTGGTGAGCAGCTTCCATGGCCTCGGTGGGGAGTGGATTGGGGGGTGAACAAAAAGCTGAGGGAAGAGGGGGACAAAGCAAATGAGAAGCAGAGACAGGTTAATGTCTGGAAACTATTAGACATAGAATCATGGAATCAAGCAGGTTGGAAAAGCCCTTTAAGCTCATCCAGTCCAACCATTCCCAGCACTGCCAAGGCCACCACTAACCCATGGCACTGAGGCCTCGTCTCCACGCTGTGTGAACACTTGCAGGGACGGTGACTGCAGCCCTGCCCTGGGCAGCCTGTTCCAATGCCTGAGCACCCTCTGGGGAAGGAATTGTTCCTCAGCTCCATCCAAACCTCCCCTGGTGCAGCTCAAGGCCACATATTCCAGGTCAAAAAGAAAATGCAAATATTCCTGATAACATTTGGTTCTCAGGAAGAAAGGGACGCTTGTGTTCCCTGGCAGGATGTTGGGCTGGGTGCTGCTGAGCCTCCAGCACCCTGTGGTGTGTGGGAGGTTCTGCAGCCACCCTCTATCCATGAACAAATGCTTCTGCTTTGCTTTCATGGAAGTTTCTGTTTTCCAGTCCTGCGCAATGTGGGGCTGGTTTGGCTTCTCCTGAAATCGAGCGTTCAGGTTTTGTGACATCCCCTGGGAGGATGTGTCTGTGTGTGAGGTGAATTTGACTCCCTGATGTGTTTTGTTGGGGGGGTGCTCCAGTCTGCATCAGCACCTGGCAGCCCTTGGAGCCTTCATCCAGCACAACCTCCTGGGTGCTGTATTTGGCTGGGAATTTCTTCAATGTAGAGGCCTTTAATTTAGGTGGAAGTTCTGGGACACCATGAGCTGAGGCACCTGGGGAATGGGGACAGAAGGGGCCCAAATAAGTGCCCGTGCACCAAGGCAGAGCAGTCGGGCGTTTCCTTGCTGTGTGTTGCAGCTGGTGGTGTTGTCTTCTTCTCACAGCTATTTAAATCATGGAAGGAAGGAGCTCCGTGGAATGAAGCACAACAAGGGTCTGCAGGTGAGTCCTGGAGGTGATGGGTGTGGAGGAGCGGGGAGCTGTGAGCTGTGGGGCATTGATGAAACTGAAGTTGAGGTTTAAGGCTGTGAGGTGCCCACTGAGATCAGGTGGAAGTGCCACAGGAATCAGCAGGATGTGTGAGACAGCACAGGGGCTGCTGCTGCATCCCTTCATCCCCCTTAGGGGAAGGATCTGTGCTCCTCACGCTCAGTTCTGTGCTGAGCCTCACCAGCCTTGCTGTTGCTGGCAACAGACTCCTCCTAGCAGCAGCAGGGCTGGAGATGTCCCAGGGCCAGCAGATCCTGATGGAGAAAAGGGAACAGCCCCGGGAGGCTCCGTGCCAGGACTGTGGCTGTTCTCGTGCACTGAACTCTCTCTCTAGTTCCACACTGCAGCTCCCTGGAAGTCGCGACGGCAGAAGGACACCCGCCCGCCCTGCACCATACAGTGAGTGCCTCAGGGTCTTCTCCTTGGAGGGTCTCTGGGAATGTTTTTGGAGGAGGTAATTGCTCTGTGAGATCCTGGGAATGCTGCCCCATAGGGACAATTCCCAGCTTCTACCAGAAGTAGTTGTTTACCCAGGCATCAGTGGCTGCCTTTCCCCTCTCCCCATCTTCCACAGCTGCGGGAATACCGGCTCATCGCCCGCTCCGGGTTGTTTCTTCCACAGTGTTTTCCGGAATGGGGATTTGCTGAGCCCTCCTTTCCCTCTGCCAGTCTCTAACAGCGCCCTGCTGCACTGGGATTCACTCTTGGCCACGGTGGCAGAGAAAGCCGCCCTGCACAGCGGAGCTGTCAGTAGGTTCGTGTCCGGATAGGGCTCTGCTGGCTCCTCTTTCCTTTCATTCAGAACATAAGCAGCTCTGGTTCAGCAGGGGCTGGGAGCTCAGCCAGCCACTTCCAGTCTGCTTTTGCAAACTCCTTTGATTTTCATGTTTTCCCTTTCCCACCTTTACAGCAGAGATAACCCCAGTGCTTAGTGAGGAGGGCTGATGGTGCTGGTGGTCTGGTGAGAAAATAAGCAAACAGTAAAGCATGGGATAAAAAGGAGTTTATGTCTAGAGGGATGGGCTTTTATCCAACACACAGAGCCTACTGAGACAAGGAGGCACAGAAGTACAAAATGTAGTAAGTTCTAAGTAATGTTAAGTTTGATGGCTTTGTAATGGAAAATAACTGCGGTGCTTGGAGGTAGTTGACATAGTTTCAGGGCCTCAGTACAAAAGGTGTGAGAAAAGCAGAATAGAAGGACAGGACCTGGGATGGGGAGTATCCCGGACTAGCAGATGTCCAGGATGAGAGCAGTTAAACTAAGTGATAAGTAGAAGGGCAGGATGATTGCGATGTCTGTAATGTTAATTAAGCTTGTTGGGAAAAGTAAACGACCCTTAAAGACCACCACATTTTTGTATGCATCCTGGAAACCTTTTGGAAAATGATATAATATACTCAGTAACCATATAAGGATGACCTGTATAGCAATTCGGGGACACACGTTAGGAGGAGCTATCCCCTGTGTCTCCCGGCGCCGCAATAAAGAATACCTGCTTGTCAACTTGAAACTCTGCTGGTGAGTTTGTTCCTGGAGTTTCCTCCGAATCACTACCTTCCCCTCATACGTCTGTTTACTGACACCCAAAGGAAAAGCTGAGATCTCCTGCATCCCATTGGTCACTGGGTGTAGTATTTCTGTGTACTTCCTTGGAGTAAGATGAACAATGATTGATCCTCTGCCTTGTCTCATCCCTGTTTACCACTTGGCACTTGTTTGCTTCCATGCTGAGGGGTTGCTCCGGGTCTTGTCTCAGCTCTGAACCCTTTGCTGTCTCTTCCTTGAGGCTCTGCAGGCTGGATGGAACCTGGGTGTCTGGTGGAGAGGAGCTGGTGGATGGCGGATACTACGTGGCAGTGGGAAATGAGGAGTACCAGAAACTGCCTTACTTTGAGCTGCTGGTGCCCCAGGATCCTGCCAGGAGGACACTGTGGTACGTAGACTGCAGCTGAGTGGCTTAAAGAATCCTCTCTGTGGTCTTCAGCTAAGGCCATCCCTTTTGCGTCTCTTCTGTCCAGTGCTGTCTGCTGCAGGGCTTGAGTTTTGCTTCATGTGCTGGAAGTTTAGGAACAAATAATGTGTTTGTAAAGCTCTCAGTGTGGGGGCACTGAAAAGCATCAGCCCATGAGGCCAGGCACTGAATCTGCTGCTTTGTTACAGGAACCACCCAAATAACGGGCGCAAAAGGCACCACCGGAGGGTGAGTGGCTCAGCTGGCGTGGAACTGTGTGTGCTACCATCACTGTTGTTGCTGCACTATTCCTCCACAAGCAGTGGATGTGTTCAGTGATCTCCATTCCCAATTACCATGGCTACAGTACCCTTGCTTGCACCATTCCCAAAGGAATGGGGCTAGAGACACATTATATTGGAGGTGATTCATGGTTCTGCCTAGGAAGGCTCTTTGGATGAATTAGAACTTCAAAGGAAAACGACTCCTTTGAACTTAAAGGAGAGAAAGCTCTGGTAAAGAATGAGCTGATGGTTCCTCGGGGGAGCCTGCTGTGCTGAGTTTGCTCTAGAGGCTGGGCAGCATTTCGCAGTGGTTGGGCACTGTCAGCCTTTCCCCCTGGACCACACTGCTGTTGATATTTGAGTGTCACAGCTCTCCTTTGCAGTGGGACAGAATCATTAGGGGTTAACTAAACTACCTCTGAATGAAGTGTAGAGACCCAAGTTTACATACCAAAGCCATAAAACTGGAAAGGGAATCCCAGAATTTAATCCCAGGATCTTTCTGTAATAGTGAGGTGTGACATTAATTTGTTTCTCAGCACAAAAAGGCACAGGCTACAGGCACATCACAAGAGGCTGTGGCAAGGAAAAGGGATGCCAGTGACTCTGAGGATGACAAGCACCAAACGATGCTGCCCCTGGCAGGAAAGAGCTTGGAGGAGTTGGCAGAAGAAGTGTGATGGGAGAAGAGGTACATTCAGGTACACCTCTACCTGCACAGCTGCAGTAACAGGAGCATGTGAATCCCAGATTCCTGGAGTACCATGGCCTGGCCAGGCGTTCTGATGGATTCACAAACTCTCCCAAAATCAAACATCCTCATCATCTGGGCTTGAGAAGCACAGTACCAGTGAGGATCGCACCAGATGCACAATATTGTTAAATGATGAAGATCTTTCCCCTTTTCTGCTGCTTATCTGAACCCTAATTCAGCTGGTTTGGATCTGAACTTGGGAAGGAAGAATTACTAAATAGAATACAGGCTTTTTACACTTTTCTCTGCCAGGAACTTTGTTCTGTGTCAGATACTTCTTATAATGAGATGTCATTGCATCACCATCCCTCTGCTTTGGAATGCTTGGATGGTGTTTGCAGCAATCAAACCCATTCCCCAAAACTGTATATATATTTCTGTGAACTTGTTTTGGGAGCAGCTGCCTGATTTCAGAGGAGTCATGGTAATAAAATGCTCTTGGATTGACTCTCCTTGTGCAAAGGGTTCTGTATTTCCCTCCCTAGTGCTTTTGATTACAGAAGCCACTTGCACAAGCTTGGCCACAAAACCAGGGAGTTCTTAAATAGATTTCTTCTATATACAATTCAATTGGTCCATGTTCAACAGCTTATTAATCATTTATTACCCCTCCAGTGATGAACAAGACGATTCAATCCTCCTTGCCTTGAAACACCCCCAGGTAAGAAACTCCTTGACTCAAGATATTAACCAGGGTGTCCTTGCAACATGCCTGGTCCACCCCAGTTCTCAGGGAATACACTCTGTGCTTTGACAGTTTTTGACACCTGTGTATTAAAATAGAGCTTCCTGGGTCTGCTGCTGAGCCAGAAGCCCCCCTTCAGCCACCAGGTTGAACATCTTCCTCTGCTTCTCACTGCAGCTTGCTCATGAACCAGCCGTGATTCCGAGGGGGGTGAGCAGCATTCCTCCTGCAGCCCCTGCGGAAACTTTGGCCTGAAGAATCCAAACCTACCAGGGAGGGTCACGATTCCTCAGTCCCAGGATAAGTGACAGCTTGTTTGGGGTGGTACCGTGGGGACTGACCCAGAAGACGCTGCCTATTGCCTCCTGACCCACAGGGCACGTGTGATGCTCCAGTCGTGGTCCTCCTGATGATCCCTACGCATGTCCCTGCTTTCTGTGTTACCGGAGAGGCTCCTGTTGTGCTGTTTAATTCCACCATCTACTGGTCGTTGCTGGGGATGACACCGAGCAGGCACTACCGGGCAAGGCCAGAGGCCAAGAGCCGCCGCAGGACCACACATCTTCCTAAACCCACCTCTTGCTCCTCCGTTATGTGACATCCTCCGCAGGATCTGCCCAAAGCCCTTCGTGACCCGGGGTTACAGACGGGACCGCTTTGCACTTTGGTGAAAACCTGATCACTTTCTCAGCACAAGCGTGTTAATCCTGCCCAAGGAAACTGAAGGGGCTGTCCCCCAGACACGAGGGGAATGTGCTGCTGTGTGGAGGTGGGGACGGACCTCACTCGTGAAATTTTCTGCCCCTGGTCCTATTGTTCCTCAATGCAGAGCTGCTCCAGCGTTTCCATGGCCTCCTCTGGCCTTGCTCCATGTCCCTCTTGCGCTGTTGTCCAGAGCTGGATCAGGGCTGCAGGGGGGGATGTCTCCCCATAGCACAGCAGAGGGGCAGGATCCCCTTCCTGAGCTGCTGCTCATGCTATGGGGGTGCACCCAGCACACGGGGGGGCTCTGGGCTCAAGAGCCAGCTCATGGGGAGCTTCTCATTGAGCAATACCCCAAGTCCTTCTCAGGTTGCTCTCACCGTGTTGATACCGGGGGTTACCCCCCCCCCAGCTGCAGGACCATGCATTCCTTTCCAGTGCTGACTGGGCAGGGGGAGGCTTCTGGTGCATTCAGTTTCTTGGTTTAATTTTATTTCCAAATGATATAGTGTTCTGTATCAGGTCATAGAACAGCACTGGAAAGGGCCTTAAAGCTCCTCCAGCTCCAACCCCTGCCACAGGCAGGGACCCCTTCCACTGGAGCAGCTTGCTCCAAGCCCCTGTGTCCAACCTGGCCTTGAACACTGACAGGGATGGGGCAGCCACAGCTTCTCTGGGCACCCTGTGCCAGCGCCTCAGCACCCTCCCAGGGAAGAGCTTCTGCCTAAGAGCTCAAGCCATTCCCCTTGGCCTGTCCCTACAGGCCCTGGTCCAAAGCCCCTCTCCAGCTTTCCTGGAGCCCCTTTATGTTGTTGCCCCAGAGCTGGATCAGGGCTGCAGGGGGGGCTCTCCCCATAGCGCAGCAGAGGGGCAGGATCCCCTCCCTGAGCTGCTGCTCATGCTCTGGGGGTGCAGCCCAGCACACGGGGGGGTTCTGGGCTCAAGCTCACACTGAAGCCGGGTCATGGGGAGCTTCTCATTGCCCAGCACCCCAAGTGCTCCTCCTCAGGCTGCTCTCACCGTGTTGGTACCGGGAGTTACCCCCCCCCCTCCCCGTACCTCAGCACCGGAGCCCCCCTGAGGGGCGGGGCGATGGCGGCGCCGTTCCCGCCTCCCTCCAACTGCGCCTGCGCCGCGGGAACCGGCCCTCAGTGACAGGCGCTGGGCGGGATGGCGGCGGGGGGGCAGAGCCGTCGCTGAGGCGCTGTGGGTGTCGGGCAGCGAGGCCGATGAAGTACATCCTGGTGACGGGCGGCGTGATCTCGGGCATCGGCAAGGGGATCATCGCCAGCAGCATCGGCACCATCCTCAAGTCCTGCGGGCTGCATGTCACCTCCATCAAGATCGACCCCTACATCAACATCGACGCGGGCACCTTCTCCCCCTATGAGCACGGTGGGTGCCGTGGGCGCCGGGGAGCGCGGGTGGGGGCCTGGCCTGGCCTGGCCTGGCCGGAGCCACCTCCGGTGTGTGGTGGAGGAGCCTGGCCCTGCAGGCCTCACTGGAGCGGTCCCCTTTGTTACAGCCGCTCCTCGGCTCGCTGTTATCAACCAAAGGAGGTGTTTTTCGTACATTGAATTCTTCACGGGCAGGCCATTGACCGTTTCCCTCTGACACGCGTGCCTTTGTGCTGCAGGGGAGGTGTTTGTGCTGGATGATGGAGGGGAAGTGGACCTGGACCTGGGCAACTACGAGCGCTTCCTCGACATCCGACTCACCAAAGACAACAACCTGACCACTGGGAAGATCTACCAGTATGTCATCAACAAGGAGAGGAAGGGAGACTATCTTGGCAAAACTGTCCAAGGTGATGTGAAGCTTCATTTCCGAGGCTTAGGAATGTATCCTGCGTTTCTGTCCTGGTTTTGTGTTACATCTTGAGGTCTTTGGTGTGTCCTGGTGATGGTTTTGGGTTGTTTTTTAGAAGAGGCAGTAGTGCAGGTCTGCTGGTGTGTGCCATACTGAGCCAGGGCACCTGGGAGCCCCTCAGGACTTCCCAGTGCTCAGTAACATAATGCCTGTACACTGGCCTTGTAGCCAATGCTAAATGCGAACAGACTTCAGGCTGATACAGCTCTGCATTGTTTGGTTGCTGGTTAAAATGGTTATTGCTTTGGGTAACTATCATGGCCTTAGGAAACCCAGAGGATCTTGGTGGATCGCATCAGTCCCTTCCCTTTTTAAGCACCCTCCACAGCTGGTTTGGGTAAGGACAGTTTAAAACGCTCTGTTCAGAGCAAAGAACTGTTTGTACACAAATCTTCCATCTTACAGGAAATGTTTATGTGTGTTTAAACTGAGGCCGGGTTACATTGCCTGCCAAGGCACTGCTTGAACATCACAGCCCAGCAGCAGCACTGCAAAAATGCATCCTTCTTTAAAGAGACAAATCCCTGCTCGAGCCACATGGGAAGCACTGGCTAGTTATGTGCTCTTTAATGAGCTAGGGAGTGTGTGTGGGTTGTGGCTTTAACCCTGCCTGGGTTTCTTTTCCAGTTGTTCCCCACATCACAGATGCAATACAAGAATGGGTAATGAGGCAGGCGCGAATTCCTGTGGATGAGGATGGCATTGAACCCCAAGTTTGTGTGATTGAGGTCTGTAGCTCTTAAAAAGTACTTTTAGCTTCTTGCATGGAGTAGACTGACCTGAATATTTCGCATAGTAATTTTTATTATTAACATTCAACTCTGCTTGTTGTTGAGTTGGTTAAAAATCATTCTTGTTACCTTCACTTATTCAGCTAATCTTTTGAGTGCTGTCTGCCTGAATCTGCACACAGAAAGACTTAGGTCTTGGACAGTTATTAGATGCTTTGCTCTCTAGTGTAATGTGCATTAGTCTATAGGGTGAATAGCTCTTGTAACTTTGTACGCCAAAGTCTGAGTTGATCATGCTGTACCCTCTCCTTCCCTGGTGGTTTGAGGAGAGTGGGGGGAAGGTAAATCACCCCCAGGAAACAGTAAAAGGAGCCTTGGAGCCACTAGTGCAAGTATGGACCTAGAAAAGGGAAAGGCACAAGTTAGTGGTGACAAACCCCATGCAGTGTCCTGTGTGCTGTATGGGACATGCTGCTGCTGAAGGAGGCAGAGGAAGAGGGTGAAGGCTCTTGAGAATGCTGAGCTGGCTGGTGAGATGTTCTAATGCAGGAGAGAGGGAGCTTGTCAAGGTGCCCAGGTCGTGCTGACTTAGACTCCATGGAGCCTGAGTGCCAGTTTCTGTTCCAGGACTCACAAGCCTGCATCCTGGATTACCTTGGAAGCATGATCTGACAGCACAGAGGCTGTTCATGCTCCAGAGAATGCCTTGTCTCTCTTCCTGCATCTGTCCACAACTACCCTGGAGAGTCACTAAAACTTAACAGAAATTTTGCTTCTCAGTGCCACTTGATGTTCAGAAATGATAATTTTAACATTTCAATCTTCTCCCTGAAGAGAGAATAGGGGTAAAGCCAATATCCCTGGAGAGGGCTGCCCAGGTGGGAAGTTGTGTTTCTTATAGCTTTCTGATTCTTTTTTTTGGGAAGTCACGAAGGTAAAAGAATAGTTGGGGTAGATGGGAGGCTGTGGAAGCTGTACATAGAGCTGGCAACTCCTCATGCTTTTTGTAATGGTGTTGGTGCTTCTTGAGGGAATTGGAGGGAGGTGCTGGGGAGATGTTTTAGTGTCCTTTTATGTGTCATAGAATCATATATGAATCCTAGAAGGATTTGGGTTGAAGTGACCTTGAAGCTCATCCAGTTCCAACCCCTGCCACAGGCAGGGACCCCTTCCACTAGAGCAGCTTGCTCCAAGCCCCTGTGTCCAACCTGGCCTTGAACACTGCCAGGGATGGGGCAGCCACAGCTTCTCTGGGCAGCCTGTGCCAGCGCCTCAGCACCCTCACAGGGAAGAGCTTCTGCCTAAGAGCTCATCTCAGTCTCCCGTTGGGCAGGTTAAAGCCCTTTGTCCTATTCTTACGTGTATGTTGTAGTGTACAAAT